TCCCCCCCCCCCCCCCATCTCCGTCTTCATTAGAATGAATGGTGGGGCTTCGCTTAGTCTCATAGCAAGTGGAATGCTCATTTGTAAAGCACAACACCTTGTTGGAAAGCAGCGATATGGCCACAGGTAGTCTATAATGCCTCTTTTTAAATAGGCCCCCAAATGTCATGTGACAGTAGTATTAACCCCTTAGTGCAGATTCCTCTTTTGCCTCTAGCTCCATGTAACAAGTGTCTTTACCTTCATTTTGCACCAAAACACTTACATTTCAATTTCTCCCCTGCAAGTGGTATAATCTCATTTAGGGCGTTCTCTTCCCTCCCTCTCTCTCCTCTCTCTTCCCTCCCTCTCTCTCCTCTCTCTTCCCTCCCTCTCTCTCTTCCCTCCCTCTCTCTTCCCTCCCTCTCTCTCCTCTCTCTTCCCTCCCTCCCCCAACTAATTGATAATGAGAATAGTTGACAACTATTATCATTATCGATTAGTTGTTGCAGCCCTAAATCTGATATGTTGGGCCTGTATGCCCCATGATTCCTTGTGCACCAACCACAATGCGCATGTATGCTTCCCCACCCCAAGTACAACCAAGTGGACACACAAGAACCCTGGCTACAATGTGCATGTGTGCCCTCAGCATGGCACCTGCGCTTGCACATAATGACCCAGCTGGGTGCGCGCATGTCAGGCTGGCTGTGTTCAACCTTCTGGGAGACCCTGCAAGACAATGTGGCCATCCTTCTATGCCAGAATGTATTACGATGAACCTGAAAATGCTTCTTATGCTACAAACACGGACTGAAAACTGTTATATATGTAAGGTTATGCTGCTCAGCACAGTAAAATGGTTCCTCGATGGCATTAACCGTTCCATTACTGAATTTGCTTCTCACCTACAATTGCTCTTTAACATTTGATTTCCCTTCATAGCTGAAGTGAAGATGAACCCAGATCTGTACGGAAGAAGAAGGCTGGTGCCCGGTTCAAGTAATCCAGGATAGGCTGTTCACACTCTGCCTGGCCTACCCTCGATTACTTGCATTGGGAGACGGCTGCGTGCGTCATCTCTACAGCCCGACATTGGTTCATCTCCTTAACAAGGAACACCTACTGCATGCTTCTGTGTCCACCCTCATCAACCATCCATACTGTGACGGTTTTTTGGGAGAGTCGGCTGGGGGAGAGTCACCCTGGTGACCCCCTGTCTTCAGAATAGAAAGTGATTTTTAAAAAACCCAGAAACTTTAAGGTTGTCACTAGAATAGGTGGTAAGGGGAAATCTTCTAATGGAAACTCTTCTTCCAGTTACGGCTGTTTAAAAACAGATTTCCCCTCTTCCTTTTTTTTAAAATTTTTTTTAGAGAGATTCAGTTTAACATTATGAACATGCTTCCAAAAGTTAGAAGCCCTGAATTGACATCCCCTTTGCCTGCGGCTCCTTCATTGTCCAATCAGTGGTGGGTTCTTCGACCGAGCTGTAGTAGATATCTAGAGTGGAGGTCAGGGCCCGGGTTGTGCTGTCTGGCAGGGGAGCCTGAATCATAAGACTCAACAGGAAACATGTATGTTAATTGTAACTATGTATTTACCGTTTGCTTCAAGTTCAGTTTTTTTTTTTTTTCCTGTTTTATTTTCATTTTTGTGTGGAGTGGTTATGGGGGGTTTTTTTTGGTCTGTATTCCCGCTGAGGGAGCTCACTCTCTAGAGGTGTTATTTTCCCTGACTTTGGTCATTCTCAATTTCTGTGAAAGCAACAACACCCAGCACCCCCACCAAAATCACCACACCACCACCCCGGGTTAGTAAGGGTCTATTGCTCGTTTAGTCTAGGGGCATGTAACGGAGAGGAACATTTATATTATTCCTTGCTCCTCTGTCAGCCAGCACTCCCCTCCACTTGGCCCTTGACATCCTTGCATACAATGGGGGCCACTGCATCATGGGCAATAAGAAGCTCTCTCTGGGGAACTGGACTTCTGGCAGGAGCAAGGCATAATATATCATTCTGCCCTTAGACACTTAGGGGTCTACTTATAAACAATCTGCAGGTTCCTTCACCCTGCGATTTATCTGTGAACGTTTGTATTTTGTGAATATTGAGAAAAAAAGAACACGCTCTTCTCTCTCTCTCTCTCTCTCTCTGCATTATGGCCACTAGATGGAGAGTAGGAAAAAGCATAGCCCATGCTCCTCATCTTGCAAAGAAAATGAAGAATGTTTGTATTTTTCTTAGGGCTGGTAATGATTAAAATTTTCGTGTGCGATTAATAAAAATTTTGTTTAATCGATTACTTACGATGAATTATAACGCAAGTACAGATCCAACTACATTGGCCTACACACATACAGCACAGCAATGAAGTAATAAAATGAACTAGGATCACACTCATCCAGCACGTTATTAGTCTCACGTGCCCCACTCAATATGGCCGCCGCTTGAGTGGGGCAACGCAGATTAATAACGTGCTGGATGAGTGTGATCCTAGTTCATTGTATTACTTCATTGCTGTGCTGTATGTGTATAGTCCAATGCCTTGGCTGGCCCTCGTGCAGGAAGTTTCTTGGGCAAACTCACCGGCCCAAGTGGCTCCGTCGGCTAACGAAGGGGGGAGGAGTCCGGTGACGTCACGGACATTGACGTCACCGGACTCCTCCCCCCTTCCCTTCATTAGCCGACGGAGCCACTTGGGGAAGGGGGGAGGAGTCCTGTGACGTCTCCGACGGGACTCCCGGAAGCCCGTCGGTGAGTGTTTTCATTAGCGTTCAAAATGATTTTATTCGATCAAAAAGTTTAACGATTAATCGAGAAATTAATCTTTTATTTCCACAGCCCTAATTTTTCTAAAACTAACGTTTGTTGATATTGGCGGTTGGGCTGTAACTAATGATTATTTTCATAGTCGATTAGTTGGCTGATTTTTATTTTTTCAGTTAATTGGATAAAAAAACAATTAAATACCATCCTTAATTTAAAATAAAATAAACAAGTGGAGTTTTACAAACAAAGTTTACTTCAGAATAAAACGGCATGCGCAATTTTTTGCAATCGCACTGCACTGGAACGCTCAGCATTGCGGTACCATGCGTTCCAGTGCGGGTGGGAGGCGCGTTTGGGGTGCCATTGAAATCAATGGCACTGCATCGCACCCTCCTACACCTCCTCCTATTAGTCAGGCCGAAAGAATTGTAAGCACATGGAGCTTGAATAGCTTCAGCCCAGGAATGACGGCTGCCAGCGGCAAGATTCCGCAGACGGCAGCTGAATATAAATACAGCCGGTAGTGGGCGGGTGCAATAGCCAGCCTGCTATTGGCCATTTCAAATTGCAAAAGCCAATAGCACCCGCCCACTGCTTGCTCTGTCCTCCTCCCAACTTGGAACAGAGAGCTAGGGGATCCAACCAACTAATCAATAATGAGTGGGGTCATCTGACAGTCTCCAGCCACCTAAATTAGGACCCGGAGACTGCCAGATGACCCCGCTCGAAGCGCCGCCCACCGGAGCAGCAGTGACGCGCCGCTCGGCGAGGAAAGTAAGAAGAAAAAAAAAAACATAGCGCAGGCTTCGGCGCTAGGCATCGGGGCATTTTGACAAGTACAAGTACTTGTCAAAATGCCCTGTATCGGGCCCGATTCCGATGCTAGCATCGGTATCGGGACATCCCTAGTCATTACTAAACATTTCTAAAGACGTACTTGTTGTTGTTATTTTAAAGATATGGGTAAAGTTTCACTTTAAGTTCGAGTCCTATAAAGATTTGATAGCTGCACAATACGCAGACACCCAACATTTGTCAGACACATTATAACATACTAACGCCACCCTCATTGAATCCTATTCCTTTCATGTTGGGCGGCAGACTATTGGATCGGTCCTCGTACCTCTTACTAATAAAGATGTTTTCGTTATGGACGGAGTCTTCCTGTTTCCCCTCGTAGTTCCTTTTATCTTTGTTGCTGGCTTAGCTTTGCTCTCGATGGGTCTGGAAAAACAACGAAAGTTTGATGTGTCCGTCTTGTCCTCCGTTCTACCCCCCAGGTGTACGTGTTGAAGAGGCCGCACGTAGATGAATTCCTTCAGAAGATGGGCGAGTTGTTTGAGTGCGTCCTGTTCACGGCCAGCCTGGCGAAGGTGAGCGGCTCCGGCTCTTCCAGGCCCTGCGCTGTTTTCTATGTCTTCATTTTATTTTATTTTATTTGTCTTTTTTGCCTTTTTCTCTCTCGTTTTTTTTGTATTTCTTTTTTTTTCATGAGGGCGAAGGTTATTTTTTTCAGAAATTGTCTTACCTTTCTCCCTTTTCTTCCTTTGCTTCTTTTGTCTGCCAGTGTGTCTTTGTGCTTTCTGCTAGTTTGTGGGTAAGTTGTTCCCATGGTAACAGTTCCACGACATATGGGCTATGCTCATAATGTAGACTCCATGCACTGCTCATGAAGCCTGTATGTTCCAGACCCCACGACGTTACCATGGTTAATAGCAGCCATTACAATGTGTTTTCTACGTAGACCTCGGCAAGCTCTGTCTCCGTTTCCTACTGCAATTCGCAAGTCGGTCTTCGAAACACTCAAAGCACCATGAAGGGGAGCAGAGCATGCTGGGAATAATGGAACTCCAGCCATTTTTTGGGTAGAATGGAGAAGAGTTCTATCCTCTTAACCCTTTCGCTGCCAAGGACGTATGGCATACGGACCTACAAAAGTGCTTCCAGCTGGCCAGGTCAGTATGCCATACGGACCTGGCATTTACAGTTCTACTATAAGCTGATGGTCGCTTTAGCTAACATCAGCTTATAGTATAACTGTTCAGCAGACTGTCC